TTATTTGATAATTTATTTTATTCAAACTTGATCCATTAATAATTTTTAAATTAATAAGATATCAAAGTCCTAAAATATTTATTTATAAAATATTTAATGCAGCTGTATAAATTAGAATTATAAATCAATTATTTAAGCTCATAAAAATATAAAACGACGGTCCTGCTATTGTGTAAATCTGCGCCCTGAACAAATACGACCTGTTAAAAAAGATCATCTCTACCTATGTTATTCTTGAAGAGTTTTTCTAATTAATTTTTGTTATATAGTACTTCTCTAATTTGCAGTATATCAATTTAATATATTCTATATATATAAGGTATAACATATTTCACATTTCCTTATCAATAAACCATTTTTAAGCTCATAAAAATATAAAACGACGGTCCTGCTATTGTGTAAATCTGCGCCCTGAACAAATACGACCTGTTAAAAAAGATCATCTCTACCTATGTTATCCTTGAAGAGTTTTTCTAATTAATTTTTGTTATATAGTACTTCTCTAATTTGCAGTATATCAATTTAATATATTCTATATATATAAAGTATAACATATTTCACATTTCCTTATCAATAAACCATTTATCACATATATAGTTAATATTCACATAATAGGTAAATACTTATTATATGTTTATTCAAATACACAACATCCTTAAAAATAATTTAAATATACGATAAAATAAATTGTAACTACACTTTTTAACAAATTCTATTATGAAAAAAATTATGCGCATCGCGCGGGTACTCATATAGTAACACTAAAGTCTCTCAATGGCTTGACACCTCAGCTTTTTTAAGCTTTATAAACATGACACCTCAGCAAAAATAATCACCAATCAAAACATTTTATTAATACATCTCATCTACCTATTTTAATTTTTAAACTTAAACCCATTAAAAACCCAAATATTTTTTCTATTAATTTTTGTTTTATTTTTTACCAAACCCAAGCCCAAATAATTAATAATTTATTTTTTTGCCAATTCTAAACCCAAATAATAAATAAAAACAAATAAAAAGTTAAATTATTATTATTTTTTTGCCAAAACCAAATCTAAATAATAAATAACAACAAATAAATAATAAAAACAAATTCTAGCTATCAGTTTGTTTGACATAGACGTATATAATTGAAAAAGTGTAGGTTCAGCATCAACTATGCTTCCATGACAACAACACAAAAAGCCTTATGTTATAAAGAAGCTCACACATCAGCAAAAATTTGAACCGATAAAAACATAACAATTTCTTAGTTTTCGAGGGAAAACACAATTTCACGGGAGATAAAACAATTTTTGGTTTTTACAGGAAATTGTAGTTTATTTGTTTTTGCCATTATCTCCTCATCTTACTAGGTCTGTACTACGGCTCACTTTGACTAGGATAGCGTGATTCTGGGCTTGACGAGAAATTTTTGTTTTCGCGGGAATTTTTTGGTTTTTGCAGGAATAGTCGATTTCTCAGTTTAATGGGAAAATGAAGTTTTTTTTTTGTTTTGACGGGAAATGCGATTTCTCGATTTTTGAAAGAAGATGAAATTTCTCTGTGCTAAATTTCCAAGTTAAAGTATGTTTACAGTAACCAAAAATTAATTATTTAACTTTAACTAAAACTATATTTTAAAAGTTCAAACATAATTTTGTATTTAGTTCTAAAGCAATAGCAATGGTTTTGATATGAATGTTATTGATTATAGTTTGGTAGTTTTAGAAACATATATTTATAATAAAATATTTTATAAATAAATAAATTTTATAATTCAAAATAATCATATTAATTAATAAATATTTTTTTTAAATGACATTTTGCTATATATAATTACAAAGAGGATCATGTGGCAATTGATTGGAGAAAATATATTACATTTGTCATTAGCATGAATGTACTAAAAATGTATTACTTTATTTTTATATATTTTATTCCTAATATACATTTATAATTAGTTCGCTAACTAAATTTAATAGCAAATTATAATTTTGAAAAATAAATAAATAAAAAAATATAATATTTATATAGATTTAAAACATATAAATACATAACTTAAGCTAATGAACAAAAAATATAATATTTATTTAGATTATAAAAATAATTTTATTATATTAAAAATATATACAAAATTTAAAAAATATCCCGCAGCATAGCGCGGATAAATACATAGTACTATTAATTAAGGATCACATCAATGTTTAAACAAACTAAAACCTAATTTTTATGTTTGTAGGAAAATAAACTAAAACCTAATTTTTATGACTAATTATATATTATTTGTTATATGTTTAGTGCAATCTAATATTAAATTAAATTTTGATTAGATTAATTTCAAATTTAAAAGGCAACCTGTTCAAATTTTAAAAAAAACCATGGTTAATTAACAGTAAAAGATAATAACCATATAATTTTATTTAAATTATATTTAGTTCTATAAAATATCTAATGAATCGATTTTATAATATTTTATTAATATTCGATTACTAAAATTATGAAGCAAGCTTTTCAAAGAAAATTAAAATATTTTTGAATTAAGAAACAATAACTGCATAAATTTAAAGAATATTCTAAAAATATGTATTCTAGCATATTTTCAAAAATATTACAAAAATATTGATAAATTTTTATTGTAGATGTAAAAACATATTAGTAATAAGTTAGTAAATTAATAAAAGATTTTCATAATTTACAATTAACAAAATAAAACTATTTATTTTAATATTATTTCAATAAACTATAAGGGAAATAAAAACAGTAACTCACATTATCTCATTTTCCCTAATTTATTTTGGCTAATTGTTTTCTCTATTTAGTTTTTCAAAAAAAATATTTTTGCAAACATCAATATTTTTTAGTCGAAATTAATTTTTTATATGTTAAATATTTTGTTTCAGTTTGTTTACTATGTATATGGTGGTTATTTTTAATTTTTTTAGTTTATCATTTTTTGTTTGACAAAGAATAAGAAGAACAAATAAGAAGGAGAAGAAGAAGGAGGAGAATAAAGAGAAGTGATGGATGAGAAGAAGAGTAGATGAAAAAGAAGAAGAAAAGAGAGAAAAAAAGAGAAGAACATGAGAAGAAGGAGAATAAGTGATAAAGAAGAAGAAGGAAAAGAAAGGATAATAAGAATGGATGAAAAAGAAGAAAAACGAATAAGAAGAAAGAGAAGTGATGACGAATAAGACCAATAGAGAAGATGAAAAAACGGAGAAGAAAGAAAATGGATGAAGAGGAAGAAGACATGAAGGAGGAAGAGAAGAAGAAGACGAATGATAATACGGAGAAGAATGGATGAAGAAGAATATTGATACATAGAAGAAGAAAAAGAAGGAGAGAGAGGAAGAACAACGAAGGAGAAGAATGAGAAGAAAAGATGAAAAAGAAGAAGAAGAAGGGATGGAGGAGAAGACGAATGAGTAACCAAGAGTCGTTAGCTCGACTGGTAAAGGATCTAGGCAAAACTTATAGATCACATGATCGAGTGACTCTTGGTATTAAACTAATATCATATGATGTTGTTTCGGGCCTGCAGAGATTGCAGGCTTCGGTCCAGAACTTCATGGTAATCTAAAAAAAGAAAGAAGGAGAAAAATGGAGAAAAAGAAAGGAAAAAAAGAAAAATAAAGGACAAAAAGGAGAAGGAGAAGAACAAAAACAAATGAAGGGAGAGAAGAAGAAAAGATGAAGAAGAAGTGATTAAGAAGAAGAAGCAGGAGAAACAGAAAAAGAAGAAAGAATTGTTGGGGTCGGTCTCCACTATGACGAAATCAACAAAGAAAAGGTTAGTAATGGAAATGAGTCTAGCCAAATCGAAGAGGTGATAAGCCATACTGACAAGGTGAGCTGGCAAACCACCGAGCTGAACTGGCGAACCGCCGAGCAGAAACAACAAGTTGGATCGATAAAGACGGATTAAACCATTCATGTCCCAGATAGGTGGACCAAACCAACAAGATATACCAAACCGATGATTCGAGATCAATATTTTTAAATAAAAATAATAGCGTGGCTAACAAAATTACAACTAGATATTCAAACCTGTAAAAAACCGACTACAATATAAGAACACAAGTTATATATAAAATCAGTAATATATTATATCTTTAAATATAAAAGTTGGGTTTGGAAAACAACAATAAGCGGAGACCGACCCCAACAATTCTTTCTTCTCTTTCTGTTTAAAAAGAAACAGATAATAGAAATGAAGAAGAAAGAATAGGAAGGGAGAAGGAGAAGAAAAAAACTAAATACAATATTAAAAAACATAAATTTCATGTAAAACCAATAACATATTATCATATTTTACAATAACAACTTGTGTGTCTACTATATTGATTTAGTTGCACGTAACTTATATTATCTTATTTTCAAATTTATATTTTTGTATTTACAAAATTTAATTTTAATCTTCATAACACATAAATAAATAATTTTAATTTAATATAACTATAGTTTTTTTTTGTAGGAGAGGGGTGGGGGAGACATATCGTAACTGAAAATTGAAACTAAAGTAGGTGAAACCGAATCTAAAAACTAGACACCTAAAGGAAGAGAAAAAGCAGAGTTAGCTAATCCATCAACAAGACAATTAGCTTTTCTGTTAGCAAGAAAAAAAAAAACAAATGAAAAACAGACTATTCATTCTTTCGAAATAAAACCATGATACATATGTACTAGAAACAGACTATCATATAACATAATATATAATAAATCTTCTTATACTACATAATTTAAATATTTATAAAATTTATTTTAAGAATCATTGGACCTGCGCAAACATCTAGTTTCGCTATAAAAAGACAAATCAGGTGAGCTTTTTCAAACCCCACAAAAAAAAAGGTTGAAAAACCTAATTTTTTCCCTTTATATATTTTCTTTTCTTATTTTCCCTAAATCGTTCCATTGTCCTTTTAGTTTTCTCACTTTTGAGATTAAAAATCACTTCTCTTCTTCATCGTTTCCCTCCTCACTCTACACCAGAGATTATTCATTCATCTTCCCCAGAGATGGGAAAATACATAAAGAAGCCAAAGATCGCCGGAGACGTTTCCTTAAACGATATATCTCACTCAACCACTCTCGCTTCCCGCACCAGAGCCGCCGCCAAAAACCTCGCCTTGCAGCGTCTCCGATCTCACCCCATTTCGCCGTCCGGCGACGCAGACTCCTTCGGCTACCTTCAGCTCCGGAGCCGCCGTCTCTTGAAGCTTCCATTACTCGGCGATACAAGAAAACAGCTCACACAAAGAGAAACGACAAACCCTAGAGCTAAATCGGAGAAATCAGATTCGGAGACGACGGGTTTAGCCAAGGAGACGGAAGAAGATTGTGGTGACAACGAGAACCAATCTGGGTTCGATTGTAATTTTGTAGAGAAAGGTCTCGATTTCGAATCCGGAGACAGGTGAATTTTAGTGAAACCCAATACTCTGTTTTCATCTCAAAAATCCCCAAAATTGAAAGTTTCGCAAGATTTGATTTTTTTTAGTGAAACCTAAATACTCTGTTTTCATCTCAAAATCCCCAAAACTGAAACTTTCCAAAGATTTTTTTTTTTTTAAATCAGCTTTATGTTTATAAAGAGAGTGATGATATTATTGACTTTGTTCCGCAGAGATTCGACGCCATGTGACTTGAGAAGAGACTCAAATGTTCCTTCGTCTCTTGAGATTGAAGACTTCTTTGCATACGCAGAGCAACAACAACAGAGATTCTTCATTGAAAAGTAATTATCCCATTTTGTATATCCTCTCAAAATCTAATCTTTTTTTTCTTCTGATTTTTTGATGGGTTTATGGTTTGCAGGTACAACTTTGACATCGTGTCGGAGAATCCAATGCCGGGACGTTACGAATGGGTCAAAGTGATGCCATGAACTGGTGTTTTTGTAACATTTGATGTAAAGTTGTGTGATTTTATGTTTAACATCTGTGTTGAAAAACAGAGGCAATGAAATTGCACACAGAGACTAACAGAGACTACGACATAATAAGGTGTTTGGGTTTTAGGGGTTTGTTGATAACTTGTTAGTCAAGATAATGTAATGCTTAATCTCTCTCATTTGCAAGAAAAATAAAGTTTTTTACTTTACAATTACAAGTCATAAACTTTGGATTCAAGTTGCAAAAAGTAGCAAACTCCTCTGAAAAAAAACGTTCGTCACAGGTTTCAATCGCTCTTCTTTATTGAAACTGTACTACCCTACTCTCTGTACAAAGCGAGGATTGAAATTGGAATTTTCACACGTGTGTAATTGTACAAACTCACACAATTTGCAGCAATATGCTTCCCGTCTAGGTTTCATCTCTCTGCAGTCACTGTCTCACTTTCTGAGTTATTGGTTTTATGTAAATGTCACTTCTTTTAGGTCTTCTTGATCATTGGATGAACCAACACATTAAATAATATGATGTCTATTCTTTTTACTACACAAGCATTTAACACCACTGACATGCTATAAAGATGTGTAAAACCCCTTAAGCACATGAACACGATCAAGCCCTGCTTTGAAACTCCTGTGAGCAAAAACTGCAAAAGTAAATCATAAGAAGTGCTTAGAGTGATTTCATCCTCGTCGATAACACAAGCATTTTATTAGCCTGTAAGTAATCTTACAGTACCTGTCATGTTCTCTCCCAAACTTTGTCACACAACAAGGAAACCGAATGTTTTAAGTTTTATGGTGTTGCAGGTTCCGTACTCAACTTTTGTCTTGTCTCTGACATTTCAACTTCATATACACCTTTAGTTTTTGAAGTTTCACTCTCTTCCATAGCCATTCTCCTGATTTTAGCCTGTTGGATTGCTAACACCTCATATCTACAAAACGATTTCGAATTTTTCATTGTCAAACTAAACTCTATTCGAAGGTGGAACCGAATCATACACAAACCAACACAGTAAGTAAGGTAACAACACTTCACATGGGTATTTACACATGGAACAAAACTTGGCAATGATAAAGTACTTACTTTGCTACAAGGTTCCTCACAAGTTGGAAATATATCTTCCAAAACTGCTCTTCCTTTAAGAGACGTGGGCATAACTTAAACCTCAGCTGAGAGAGTTCCTGTAATACCAAAAAACTTAATCTTGTTTAGAGAAGTTTTGTAAACTATCAATAAGATTCGACCCAATGTTACTAATCAACCAAATTCAGTTTTGTCAGCACTAAAACAAAATCATCTTCTAACTGTAAAAAAACACGAGCAAGTTTGCCATTTTCAGTAGATTACAAGCAATCCAAGAAGAGAGCAGCTTTAAAATGAACTAGAACATTCAACAAATAAAACTCTGATTCAAGTAATACACTGATACCAAAGACCCAAAGAGCCTTACTGCTACCAATTCCATTCATTTAGAAACATAAATCTATCAGAAAATATCAAAATTTAAAGAGAAACGTTTGATTTCACTTAAGAATCAAAAATCATTGTCTAGAGCAGCTTTTAAAAACCTCTATACAAATTCGACACATTGTTCTTAATTGACCAAACCCAAAGCAACAAACGGCAAACTGTGAACATGACCAAGTTTTCACCATTCTAAGTAACATGAGCCTCAGCAGATTTACAAGCAAACGAAGAAGAGATCAACTTTGAAATAGGCACTATAAGATCAAACCCCATACGCTTTAATTCGAATATAAACTAATGGCTGATCATTCGAAATCAAGAGTTAAGAAAAAACCTTCGATTTCGATAAAACGAGAATGGCGTGTTTCTCTTGCCAATCAGATAAATCCTTCTTCACATTTGCAGAGGAGCTCACTCCATTAACTTCATCCTTTAACGGACTCACAGACGCTTCTTCTTCTTCTTCTGCTTCCGAATTTCAGCCCAATTACAAAAATTAACTTCGCCGATAAAGAAAACCGGACGAAGTTGAACAATAAGAAGCAAAGTTTGAGAGCTTTATTGTATATACCTTTCAGAGAGAAGTTCTTAAATGTGTCAATGGTGAAGGATCTGATTTGATTGATTAAATCATCAGTTACTCCAAGCAAATCATCTTTAACTTCTTCGTTTCTGCTCGATGATCCATTTGGAAGTTTATCATTCTTCTCTCTGAAAAAGCTTCGCCGAATCCTCGAAGCTATATTCATCGCGATCCGTTGAATCCCTTTGAAGAGAGGAAAGTAAGAAAGAGAGTTGTTTTAGGTTAAGAGGCTTATTGGGCCTAAATTACAATAACCAAAAGCCCAATAAAATTAGGTTTTAGAGAAGGAAGCCCTAAACCTTCTATAGAAGATGAAACCCTAATTTCTCACTGGCCGCCTCATATATAAAATTCGCCATTGAAGTTTAGTCGTAACCTTCTCGAAGAGCGAAAGCAGTGAGAGAGAGAGAGAGAATCATCGAATCGAGAAGATGGTGTCTGGTTCAGGAATATGCTCGAAGCGTGTCGTCGTCGACGCGAGGCACCACATGTGTGGCCGTCTCGCTTCGGTCATCGCCAAGGAATTGCTCAACGGGCAGAAAGTTGTCGTCGTACGATGCGAGGAGATTTGTCTCTCAGGTGGACTCGTTCGTCAGAAGATGAAGTACATGAGGTTTCTCAGGAAACGCATGAACACGAAGCCTTCTCACGGTCCCATTCACTTCAGGGCTCCGTCTAAGATCTTCTGGCGTACCGTTCGTGGGTTCGTAATCTAAATCTCTTTTGATCCTGCTTAGATTACTTTCACTGATTTGTGCTGAATCTGGGAAATGAAGATCCGAAGTAGACTTTAGGTTTTGTATAGTTAAGTGTTGTTTAAACTCGTTAAGATCAGAAATGTGTGATTATCAATTCAAAATGTTACAATTAGAGTTCGTATCAATGGTTTGATTTGGTTAGATTGGGAATTAACTTTATTGCCCCAAGTTTGATAAAATTGTCAGCTTTTCCTCTTTGTGTGAGTGGAATGTTATACCATAATGGTTTACGTTTTGGGTTGTGTCACAGTATGATTCCCCACAAGACCAAGCGTGGTGCTGCTGCTCTTGCCCGCTTGAAGGTCTTTGAAGGAGTTCCACCTCCTTACGACAAGGTCAAGAGAATGGTCATTCCTGATGCCCTCAAGTAAAAATCCTGCAACTTTGTTCTACTCTGTTTCATGTTTCCATAAGTTTGTTGTTAGCTACGAACTAGTTTTCATCTTTTTCTCTTTGTTATTGCGTAGGGTTTTGAGGCTCCAGGCTGGTCACAAGTACTGCTTGTTGGGCCGTCTGTCATCTGAGGTTGGATGGAACCATTACGATACCATTAAGGTACGTCCATTTTCTCGATATGGAGTTTGTGGAACTAAAGCTGCTTCATTTACTTTCGTATTCATAAATATCTTATGAGTTTGTTTGAAGAATGTCCTCATTTGACAACCAAAACTAAAAATGAAATATTGTATGGTCTATGGAGCTGTTGCAAAACCAGTTATAGTTTATGACATGATCTCTTTTATTGTTTAAATGCTACGTTGTTGGTGTACCCATGGTGGTCTAATGAAAAACTTAGGATCATATTATTATGGTTATGATGTCACTGAAACTGGGATTAAACTTTATTATAATGAATTTTGCAGGAGCTTGAGGTTAAAAGAAAGGAGAGGTCACAGGCTGTGTACGAGCGTAAGAAGCAACTCAACAAGCTCAGGGCTAAGGCCGAGGAGGCTGCAGAGAAGACACTTGGATCCCAGCTCGATGTTCTTGCACCGATCAAGTACTGAAAATCGGCATCTATCTTTCGGTTTAATCCTTGTTTTGAAGCTCGTCGTGATTCTACCTTTGAATTCGGGTTTTGATTTTGGTAGCATTGTAGACGTAAAGATTGGAAAAAGTAAACATTTTGGTTTTGCTATTTTGTTCAAGACAATCTTTTATGGTTAATGTTTTGATCTATTCAGCTTTTTCTTTATTCACTGTTGAAAACCACTCTCATTGTCTAAGCTGTTGATTTCAGTAGAAACAAGAAAAGATAGAAAACCAAAACGGTGATTTTAATAATTTTCTGTGGTCAACAAATTCTCGAACTTTCTGAACTCGGTTTTGTAAGCAAGCAAGGTGTCCTTGACTTTGTCGACATGTGAACTCATTGTCTGTATCTATGTCTATCATCGACATAAAACTTGCACAGCACATGCATATCGTATTCCTCTGAATAGCTTAAGTTGGGTCTATAGAGAACTTTTTCAATGAATTCTAAAGTAACCAATTCTCAAGCTCGCTTAGTTTTGCATAACCAACAGTCTCAAAGTCGGTAACGAAGTAATTAACTGTATGCATTGTGTCATCTTCTTGGATCCGAAAGTTCGTGGTTTCTCAATCCATGAAAGTAGTCATCTCGAACTTGGACATTCTTATTATAGATCGTGCACGTGTAAGAAGGAGAATTCATCTTACAATACGAAACCATCATTGAATTATCGTCTGAAAATTTCGTATAAAAATTTCGTATATGCCTTTCCAACAATCGTTAAAACACATATAAATATGTTTTTATAAAAAAAACACGAGTATTTAATATTTATATTATTTTAAACTCTATAAAAAACTTAACGTATAGTATTCCTTTATGTATCAAAGATTTTTCCCAATAGATAGAGACGAGTGTTTTCAATATATCAAATAAAAAAAACATTTTGTCATGAACAAAATAAAGAAAAGGAGTTTTTATTCTTCTATATGCAAAAGGCCATAAATTGATGAACTCACGTGGTCGACCTGTCCCTCTCCTTTTGGACCTATAGTTAGATACGTGGCACTTCTCTCTCAGCGAATTTAGAATCTCCGTCGGCAGTTTCCACGTGGCTACCTCCTACTGGATAAAACGTGGAGTAAACTATTCTGTCGGTGGACCCACATCTATTTAATATTTATAAATAAAAAACTAAAATGACATAACCAAACAGTAAATTGTAAATTATGGTTAGGCTTAGCTTAGCGCTTACGCGGACCGTAACCACCACTAACACAACAACCAAACGGACGTTTAACTCGCCGTTAACACAAGTTAAAAAATTAAAAACCCTTTTCCTTTGACTAGCCGTAACGTAATTACTGCAATCTCGAAGCATTGACTATATAGAAATAAAGGTTAACCAAATCTCCGGTTTACTCATCGGTTCATTTCCGGTTTTTTTTTAAATCGTCTTCTTCCACCTAAAGCAAATCAGGTCGAGGCTATAAAAACGGCGAACATAACCGGCGTGTTCCTCCTTTCTCTCTCTCTCTCTCTCTCTTTCTCTCTCTCTCCCTCATCTTCGTCTTCTTCTTCTTCTTCTTCTTCTTCTTTCTCCTCTGCATTAAATGTTAGTCTGAAAACGACGCTTCGTCTTCTTTCTCCGGGCTACGTTCCGAGGAAAACTGTATACGTATATATATATATATGTATTTTGTCGTGTATATAAAAGAGATTTGACTTCGTAATCTGAAAGCAACGTTTTTGTTTGGAGGGAGAGAGACAGAGAGAGATAGAGAGGGCTTTTTTTCTTCACCTAAATCTGGAAAATTAAAGAGAGTTTAAACGTATCAGATTTGGTACTTCGCGATTTCGCGAGATCGCTTATTAGGTAAGAAAACGAAAAAAGTTGTGGATGATAAATGTTTGCGTTTTCGTGTATTTGAAATCATTTCTGGGGTTTTCCGATTATTGGGGGAAAACTCGTTTTTGAGAGAGATCACGATTCTCGTTTTCTTGATCTGTTTGTTTTGATTCCAATTTCGATTTTTTTTTCTGATTCGGCCTTCCTCGTCGATCTTTTTCCCTATAAATCTGAGTTGAATCTACATTGATTCCATAAGCTTTCTGGGTTTTCTCTCTCTGCAGATACATAGATTCACACTATCACCTGTTTCTTGAATAAACCAAATGCCAGGTAAAGCTTTCACCTACAATTTAGCCAAAATCTGATTGCATTTATTCGAATTCAAAGCATAATTGTGATCATCTACTTTTGATCTGTTCTTCAGCTCTAGGTGAGATCATTTCGGTTCCAGAAACTGATAAAGGAAAGAGTAAAGACATTACTGAGAACTCAGATGATGAGAAGATTCCAAGAACTCGTTCTAGATCCTTAAAGAAGAAAGCTATCAAAGCTTCGACGAAACTAACACATAGTCTAAGGAAACGAGGGAAACGTGTAGCTGATCAATACGCAGCAATTGTAATCGAAGATGTGAGAGACGCAGAAGAGGAGAAAGCAGTGAATGCATTTAGAAAAGCTTTGGTTTCTCTAGATTTGCTTCCTCCTCGGCACGATGATTATCATACTATGTTGAGGTATAAAAAACAGTGTCAAGATTATATCTCAGGATCAGTAAAAAGTTAATCTAGAGTTTTGAGTCATTGATCATTGTTGTTGCAGATTCTTGAAAGCGAGGAGATTTGATCTTGACAAAGCTGTTCAGATGTGGGAAGAGATGCTTAAGTGGAGGAAAGAGAATGGAGTTGATACAATAATGCAGGTGAAGAGATTAAGAACCTTCCTTTAAAGTTGGTAAAAGAAAATAGAAAATTGTTGTTTATGATAATCTTTCCACATGGAGTTTTTGCTGTTACTAATTTAATCATCTTTGCAGGATTTTGTTTATGATGAGTACGAACAAGTACAACAATACTATCCACATGGTTATCATGGTGTAGACAGAGAAGGCAGGCCTGTATATATCGAACGTCTTGGTAAAATTGACCCTTGCAAGCTCATGAAGGTTACTACATTGGAGCGTTTCTTGAGATATCATGTACAAGGCTTTGAAAAGACCTTCGCTGAGAAGTTTCCAGCTTGTTCGATCGCTGCTAAGAGGCATATAAACTCTTCTACAACCATTATAGATGTGCATGGAGTGGTTGGTTACTTTTTTACATCTTTCGTTTTCTCAACATTTGTGAGAGTTTATTGTTGCATCCTGAGTTTTGAAAATGCTTCTCCTTTTTTTGATGCAGAGCTGGATGAGCTTTAGAAAACTAGCTCAGGACCTTGTGATGCGTATGCAGAAAATAGATGGTGATAATTATCCTGAGGTGGGTGTATTGAAAGTTATTTGAATGTCAAAACCTATACATTTTTTTTTCACTTTTGAAGAACACTAATATTGGTTTTGGTTCATTGAAGACAGACATTGAATCAGATGTACATTGTTAATGCTGGAAACGGATTCAAGCTTGTTTGGAACACAGTGAAAGGCTTTCTCGACCCTAAAACTACTTCTAAGATTCATGTATTAAATCTCTTCCACATCACATATATAAAAGCCTAATACAGGACTCTTTTGAGGTGTTACAGCTTGACAAACGATTTACATTGGCTATTTCACAGGTTTTGGGAAACAAATATCGCAGCCACCTTCTTGAAATTATAGATCCAAGGTCAGAATTTCTACTGAATAATAATCCAGTTTTGCTTTAGTTGTCTGGAGGCTGATACATATGGGTTCTGTTGTTTTCTTTACACAGTGAGCTTCCTGATTTTCTGGGAGGAAATTGTTCATGTGCAAATGAAGGTGGATGTATGAAATTCAACAAGGGGCCTTGGAATGACCCAGAGATAATGAAAGTATGATCCTTTTTTAAGCTCAACTTTTTGGTGTAGACACTTGAAAAGCATCATATGATAAAATCTCTGTTTTGCATCATACTTTGTAGCTAGTGCGATCGAGAGATGCAACGTACAAAATAAAAGAAATAGAGCTCCCTGAGAATGGGGAAGTAGCTAAATTATTTGCCTTACGGGTGAGTGTTATTAATCCTAGTCAACTTGTAAACAGTGATTGGCTCTTGTTACCTTCTGTATTAACATCACCTTTTCATTTTAGCAGCATGTGAATACAGAGATATCATCACCTGATGGAGAGCAAGTTAGGGACAGAGAATCGCATCCTGAACATGTTAGTTTACGTTATATACAGAGTCTGCTGCTCTTATGTTTGTTCATGGTCTAATATTATCTGAATGATTACAGGACAAACGTGCTCAGCCAAGCGATCAAGCTGAAGCAGTTGGTGTTGGGAGAATTGTACAGTCTGATTCAACAGGTAGGTGAAAAGCAACTTTGTGTTGTCATGTCATGGTTTATTTTAGCGAAGATCCTAAAAATCTCTAGAACACTTTCCTGCAGATCAATTACCTAGTAATCTGACAGAAGAAAAGAGTTTGAAGAAGTCTCTTCAGAGAGTGGCAAGTTCGTTGGCTCGTTTTATCTTCCAACTTCTTGCGTCTCTATGTCTCATGTTCCGGATCTTGGGAAGACTTGTAAATAAGCAACCAGAGAACCAATTAAGACCGGAGTTAACAGTTTCGGTCTCTCCTCCTCAAGATGTTCCTCCTCCTCCTTCTCAGTTGCAACGAGGAGAGTCTCTACATCCATGTTGGCTAAGGTTGCAGAATCTGGAGAGCATGGTCACAGTTTTGTTTGATAAACCCACAAACATTCCTCAGGAGAAAGAAGATATACTTCGTGATTCATTAGACCGCATCAAATGCATTGAGCAAGATTTACAGAAGACAAAGAAGGTAACATATACAACTCTTCAATTTGACCCTGCCCCCCTCCCCCCCCCCCCCCCCCTAAAAAAAAAACACTTTGTTTCAAGAAGCATTAAGGTTTTAATTGTTGTTTACAGGCTCTCCTTTTGACGGCGTCAAAACAGATCGAGCTCGCTGAGTCTTTGGAGAGCTTGAAAGAAAGCAGCTCAACAACGGTAAGGAACTAAAGTCTTCTTCTCTAACACTCTCTGTGCGCATCAATATGAAAAACATTCTTCTTTTGCTTGACGCAGGGAATGAGATCTTGCTGGCCAAGACACTGCAGAAATTTTCAAGTTGAATAAATATATTTATATGTCTTTGAATCTCATATCCCAAGTCTGCCTAAGCTTACTACTACTTGACCCTCCAACCATGTTACAGGTGAGATACATAACAAATCATCTCTTTGTCATAATCCAAACCAAACATAACTGTTTTGTTTGCTTTGCTCACTTGGAACTTCTTTTTCCTTTGATGGTTGTTTGGTTTTCAGATGGTTCTGTTGAAAGACAAAATGGTTATCGAGAGTGAAATTGAAGAGGTATAAGCTTTTACAAATGTACCAGTTTCTTTAGGATATAGAAAAAACAGCGGAAATTAGTGAAGCTATATTTGGGATTTTACTTTTTTTTTTTCCCCATAACGAATCTAATGCACACCATTGTTACAAACTGTATAATCCATTTATTGGTGGGGAGTTATCTTGGCACAACACAAATGCTTTATATATTGTGTAACTTTACTATTTACAAATACAAATACATTTGATCTGTAATGTTATAACAAATTCTCCAACTGCTTCAAGAGTGCTTCAGAGGAATTTCAAGTAACGAAGATACTTGAGAATATAATACTAAGCCAACAGAAGTGATAAAACTCACAAGAAACCTGTAAATGATCGGTGTCGTAACCACTCGCAACCAAAAATAGCTCGAGTCTATGTCGTAAATACTATGAAGACAAAACTTAATTTCTTAAAATAAATAATTTGATAATGTTTACCAGAGAGAATACAACTTGTATGAGAAGTAGAGAATCAAAGCTGTTAACGATCTTAAACCTAGGTCGATCTTGTTGCAGTTGGAGCATAAGAGATGATGTTGATGTGCTCGTGGATTTACACTATGTGCTTATGTAAAGATGTTGCAGTCTGTGATTCTCTACATGGCTTACAAAGACTCTAACTTGCATATCACGTTTCAAAAAAGCTTCATAGCGGATTAGCCTAACTTGTGTCCTACGTTTCTCAAAAGCTTCATGGTTAGCAGCTGCTCCAAAGCCTCGGATTTCAACTCTTTGTAGAGTGTTCCTTACGAGACTGAGGTTAAAAAACGTAAAATGGATCAGACGCTTGGCACGACGACAAAACAATTTCAGTCACTTCAACAACGGAAAAATAATCGAAGCCAACGACTTGATTCTCCCATAATGTGGAAACATCATTGCAACCAACGACTTGGTTCTCCCGAAACGTGTAGGTATATTCCGAGTTTCCAACCATTTCGATTCTGGTTTCTCCACATCCTTTATAACCCACGTGAGCACACCTTCTACACTTTCTGTAATGATAACGATCGCAATCCCAAGGATCAATCACGCCTAGTTTACCCTTACAGTTGATCAGGCTATGCCAATCACGGATGAAGTCTCTGTGTATAAACTTGAATTTCTCAGACCAAACATGAAAGCAACCTATGAATTAATAGACGTTTCATAACTAATTTGGAAAGCGAAATAATACAAAACCCCAAACATTCATATCCCTTCACGAAAAGCAAGATAGTCTAAGGGACAATGAATATTTCTCCACGAATCGTCTCCAATTCCTAGGGTCAAAACTTGAAACCGATCCACTTCCTCACCCTTAAAAGGAGAGGTAATGAACAATTTGTTTGTCAATTGGATCAAACCCTAAAAAACTTGGACCATTTGATATTGACACAACATTGAGGATACCATCAACCTTGGAGCAGAGGATCAATGGACATGATGGTCTAGCCAAGGGTAAAAGAGAGACATCTCCCTTGGAGAACATGTCATGAATAAAGAAGAGACTATCTTGCATGATTTTTTTCTTTCTAGACCTCAATCTCTCCGTGCATTCAGACTCAACAAAGACTTGGGGAGCATACTAAACTCACCTAGAGTTCACCACGAAGAAGAATCAGCTAAAAAGGAGTTCATATGAAAAAAATATTGAAGATACAAGTTGGCAGATCTTCGATGGACCCGGTGGAGACATGCGACTACTTAATAAACCATTCCAGACAAACCACGACGAATCCAGCTACAAAACCGGATATTTTGGAAACTTAACTCATCAAAGAATCGAGAAGAATAGGATTCATGCCAAAATTCATTAAGGTTTAAAAGTTATTCAACTTCTAAACTGGATGATGCTCAACTTGCCTTATTTGGAAGCTCACGAGTTTAAACATTTACAACATTCAGGAGACACATCTAACAGCCCAGGAAAGCCAGAAAACATTTTCTCATGCACCAGCACCCACAGGACCAGGCGGATCCTTGCACACTTCTACTTAGCATATATGGAAACATTCACACTTAGCAAGTGCTATCAATGACCAACGACTAGCTACTCTTTGTACTATAAAAGGACAGGAGACTATTATTTTGTGCACCCATAATCAATATATCCAGATACAAAGTCAGCAAATCCCCTTTATTCAGCCATCATCCATCAAATGGCTCAAAATCACTTAAACCTCTCTTTTTGATTCTTGTATGATTTTTGCATAATTTTCTCTTAAGGTTAATGTGTAGAATCTATACTGAGTAACTATATAAGCACATCTCTTATTTCATTGTAAATCACCTTTCAATTAACCAAGAAAATATAAAGTTTGTTTTTTTTTTATTTATTCAAAAAGTGTTTTTGTCTAAATACTTATCTTTAGATTCATTTGAATAATTCTTGGAATACTTGTCTTTAGATTCATTTGAATAGTATTCTTGGAATAGTATTGATTCATTTGTTTCTATTGATTCTTGGAATAGTATTGTTCGTGAGATTCAGGCAAATTTAGTTCCAAAGGCTGAATGAGCCAGTCATCCCAAAGACTGAGAGAGTTAATCAAATTTCCACCTCTGTTGCTACACTCATCCACTTCTGCCTTAAGCTAGTTAATCAGTTTTGATCTCCATTTGTTCCAAGATTGTGGAGTGATTCCCAATCTTGTGTCAGTTATCCATTTAGGTAATGCCTCGTGCTAGGGTTACAAATCACCATCCAACATCTCGTTGAAAATGGATCAAACCAAAGGCATGGCCAAAAAATATAGCCTCGAGTTTTCAGATAACTTCATGTGAAAGCCGGCTGCTACTACAAGAGAGGACGACTTATCATATGGATTCTGAGGCTGAGGCCACGAGAAGATGTACCAATCGTTTTGTTGGATGGCTAGTAAGGGACGTGGCCGAGTCTGAGGACCAGGTCAGGAACAACTATGTGAAATACGGTCCGTTAAGTATGGATTCCCATAGCGTCGCAAGAACAATCTCGTGAATGACTTCGTAGGCAATCTGATGAGTTTTCTCCTCTAACCATATTGAGTTCGAACCTTTGAAGACGATGGTGTGTTTTTTTTTTTTTTGTTAAAGGATTTTCATTAATAAAGAGTTTAAACTACAAGGAATCGGAAAAAGATCAGATGATAAAAACAGAGGAGGACCAGCATTTGGATTTGAGGGGGTAGCTACTTCAACGAGTGGAGAAGACGTCGGAGAAAGACCAACGGAAAAGAGCTAGCGTGATGTCTCACCCACAACCTTTGAAGACGATGGTGTGTTTGTTGGCTGTTCCTGGACTTACGGAAGAGCCTCTAGTTTAGGGTTTCAAAGACAACTATAATGTCCGAAAACATGGAAAACGATATTATTGATTATTATGTCTTTGGTTAAAAACAAACTTATATATACGAATTTCAATTTAGATGGTTCAGTTCGGGATAATCGCTTGTTGCTTTGACACATGTTTACATATATTTTACTTGTTTGGTTTTCAAGGCAAGGGAGTTGCGAATTAAAAAATTCAATCTAATTTAAACTGATTTTTTGTTCGAAAGCCCTATTCAAATACTTCAAATGTATGTGCTCAGCTCAAAATGGCAGTATGAGAAGGCGCTGCTGATCAGGCTTAGGAAATTAATTAGTTCTACAAAATTTTGTTGCTAATTTTGTTACGTATTTTTTAAGAATTTTTGTGGTAATTTTGTGACTACATAAACTTTATTGCAAATCGTAGCAAATTATATATAAAAAGTAACAAAATTGCTACAAAACAATATATCTCTTACATTGTAACAAATTTATCGTTAATTATAACAAAATAAAGCTACAATTTCATTTTGTAACAAAATTAGTATTTATGTTAACTTTTTCTACTGTTATAAAATAAATGGACGCTTGTGTTGTTTTAATGTTTGGTGTCTTATTCTCTGTTCTTCGCTTGGTGTCGTTACCTTCTATTGTTAAAATTGGCTAAAATCTGTTTTAAACATGTTTAACAGTGTTTGTTTTGTTAAAAATGGCTAAAAAAATCAAGCAAATGTTCAAAAAAAAAACATGGCTAAAATCTCAGTGCTTTTACATCGTCTCTTCAATTCTATCTATAAAACGGTCCATCTTTTCTTCTCGGATGTTCCTTTAGATTGAATGCGTGAATTATATGAGATGAACAAACGATGACGGAGGTGGGTCAGAGGAGAAGTGAAGAGAAGAAAATCACGAAATCGGAGAAAATTTGAAAACAAGTCGTAAGTTTTCCCCAAAAAAAAAAATGTTGAATAATAAAAAAGGTCTCTTGCAATCAGGCATCATTTATCTTTCTTGCGATTGAGTCCGCAAGATGCGCAACCTTCAAAACTATATCTATTATTGTTGTAACACAAAATTGCACAGGTCAAATTTATAAATATGAATAGCTTGAAGAGTTTGAGTAGTTTTTGATTAATACAGATATGAAGAGAGCGATTCACAAGAAAGCAATGTTTTGAAACCCTGACATGGAGAGCAAACCGTACTATGCTAAACCCAAAAACATGTCCATATTCATCTTTAGGAAAGTAACATAGCAGTTTTACTTTTAGGCTAGAAAATCATATCTCAATATTCACATCGAGGTCTCAACAATCTTACATCTTTATCTCATGAGTCTAAAGACTAAAGATGCTAACTAAAAAGTCAGACATGTTTAGATCGTGTAGCAAAGTGATCTAATACTATTTCATAATCACGATATTCACACATTCAATAATCAATACTATCCCAAACTTTTCTCTATTACCTCTAGATTATTCAGCTCCGGAGCATGTTGTATCAAATTTAAAAATCGAAGATACTTGAGAGGAAGGTCTTTTGCTGCTCTGCTTGTTGCAATGGAGTCGGCCAAAATTCTTATCATTGTTTATAGAGTTCAAAATCCCTTACAAGGTATACAACATGCCCAAAACCAAATTAACGTGGGACAAAGCAGTGTGAGTTTAACACAACTAGGACATGATCACCAGGAAAAAAAAAAAAAAACATGAGTCTATGTTTTAAATATAATGACGATACAACTTCAGCCATGGCCCCTGACTTATTTTAAAAACTTCATTTCTTATAAATTTATCTGATAACTTAATGATGTTTACAGAAATTAAGAAGAATACAACTTGTATGTTAAATAAAGCTTTTAGCCAACTTAATTAAGGAGAAAAGGAATTACAATCGGGTAAAATTCATCCAAAACCCGATGAATCATCTAAAAGACGTAGAGAATCAAGATTGTTAATTA